TGAGGATATTTCCCAGAAAGAGCAGCTGCACAGGGTGGCTGCTGAAGCTGAGGTTCATCCAAGCAGCACTCCCTGCTCCCGTTTTTCCACCAGGTGTCAGCCAAGGAGTTCTCTGGGAGCTGCTGCTTCGCAGGGACTGCTCTGCTGCCAGCCCAAGGCGTTGATCAGAACTCGTTGGAGGGGGCTGTGGAATCATCTGATCAAGGGAAAATCAAGCATGAAGCTGCCTCAAAAGGAGGGCTGGGTCTGAGTGTATTCCTGCTTTACACTGTGTTTTTGGCTCAGTGCTTTATTAGAGCAAGTGCCTTACACAACTGGAGAGGAGGCTGTTGCTCAGGGAAAGTATCTTTAGATCTTTTCAGCTCAGCCCTGAGCAGCCATTGCAAGTTGGAACAAAGGCAGGTTCTCCCAGCAGAGTGGTGTGAGCCAAACAGGTAAATGAGCCTCCTGGTCTCGGAAAAGAGCAGAACTTTGCGGAGCTGGGCTGGGAGAAACTCCTCAGCCAGCTAGGAACACATCCCTGCACTGCAGGGAAACACTAGCAGGAAAAGTTAGGAATACAATGCAGTGTCAGAAAAACCACCCAAACCTTCAAAGCCTTTATCTTCAAGTGTTCTCTGTCCTCTACACTCTCTTGCCTCTGGTCAGGGGTGTGGGCTTCCCATTAATGACAGACACTAATTAGTGCTAATGAGAGACATGACCTGTATCACCAGGAGGATATTCTGCTATCCTCAGTGTGGTGCTGGGCTTGCTGTGGGCAGTTGATCTGGTTTGGCCATGGTTCATTCCTGTGGGCAGTGGTTGGAGCTCCCACAACACCTGACCGGAGATCCAGCCTGGGCCCACAGTTCCAGAACTAGCACAGTAGTAACCCAGGGACCTTTGGTTGCTGGTCTATAATTCCCTGAGAGGTTACCTGGGAGCAAACCAAGAGCCCAGGAAGTCCTCCAGTTTTATCCTTCCTCACATCTTAGGGAGTGGGGTTTGGCCACCAGCAGGTGCCTGGAGAGGAGCATCGGCACCTCATTCTCACACTCTTCAGTGTAAAGTCCCCTCAGGTGTGAACAGGACCATCCCAAAGACCCTGATGTCTTGCCATGTACTTGTTTCTTTGCATGGAACAAAACATGCTCCTTATGAGTTCCTCTCTGCTCCTGAGCTGATAGTGGAAGGGGTGAGACACTCGCCTTGCTCTGGGATGTTACTAGGCTGAATGCCTGTGAAGATGGCAGAGCTCCCTGAGCAGTATCACTGCTCTCTTGTCCCAGGGCACTTTCCAAACATTCTTGGACAGAGCACCCCCCAAAAAGACTGTTTTGCCTCCCTGAGACTGAGCACTAACAGCAGTGAGCACTGCACATTCAGGTGGGGAGGGCATGGGAGATGTTGGAAGCCTCCTGCCACATGGGCATCTCTGTTGGCTCCATGCATGCAAGTCCACAGGCCCCAGCATGCCCGTCTGCCTCAGCCCACGTGAGGGAGATGGTGCTCTGGCAGCCTGGCCAAGGCTTCAAAGGCTGCAGGGTGTCCTCAACCACCCTGAGCTTTGCAAGCCCAACCACAGATTCTGCCCGTAGCAGTTGGCATCTGCGGGCACTGATGATCTGGTGCCAGAGAGGTGGATGTGGCATCATCTAATGTCCCCTCTCTGCCAGTGTTTGAGATCCTAGCACAGAGTGGAAATGCAGCCAGCAACACCCAAAGCAAATTGTGCTTCATTTCCCAGTGCATTTCCAACACCAGGACAAGTTCTCCAGGAGCAAGATGATTGCTCACTGTTCTCTGACAAGATGGACAAGGCTCCAGAGGAGCAGACCCACATTCATTTTTCTTTGACAGCTTAAATGTCATAATGCCATTGCAAACCTGACCATGGTATACGTTATCTTACGGCATTTATTCATCTCGCCCCAAAAGCACTGGCAATAAAATTAAATATTTCATAAGGTTGTTATTTGGCTGCTGTGCTACCAAAACCCAGTGCAGCCTCCTCCCTCCTGCTCCATCTCCCTCCTGTGAGATGTAGCAGTGGTGGTGAGAGTGGAGGCCTGAGGAGGAAGGGAGCTGCCGCACTCCCTGCCCACCCCTCATCAGCATATCTGATCTCCCCAAAGCCCTGCCTGGATCTCCACACCCGTAGCAAGGAGATTCCTTCTGAGAAGCGATGTGGGAATTAATAGGGGCAGCCTGTATTTCCCTGAGGTGTTGATGGAAGCTGAGTTTCTGGAGAGCTGGTTCATCTTTGACTAGGGAAGAACTCTGCTCACATACTTTAGTCTCGGTGCTCTCATCTCCCTGTTCCACCAGTACATTTGTTGCTGACCCCCAGGAGCAAAAGTTCTGCTTCAAGCCCCTAACACACTGTGCTGGGGAACTCCTGGGAAAGAGCTCTGGGACCTTTGATACAAAACTAGATTTTCAGAGATTTCTGGCTTGGGTCCACTTGCAAGAAGTGGTCCCTGGGGTGGAGACCTTGCCCAGACTCACAGCAAATGCTCCCTGCAGCTGGCGGGGGGGTGAAGAGACAGCTCTTGTGTTGAGGTCCTCAGCAGGAACACGACACTTAAGAAACACAAAGAATGTTTGGCAGAGCAAAACACAAGCACAGTTGGACTTGTGGTCCTTAAAGAGGGATGCTAAAAAATAGGTAGTGGGGAGCTGTGTTTGAGGTGCTTCTTGTAGGGCCCTGAGGGTGCTGCTGGGCAGGACCCCAGGGCTAGGAAGCTGCTGATTGTGCTCCCAAAGAAGGTGAGAGCTAGGGCAGGGTAGCTCATGGGAGTTTCACAATGACCAGAGTCTTTTGTGAGGTCCCTTTTCTCCTTCCTGAGCACTGCTGTGCTGTGCTGTGTTGTGCTGGGGAGGGCGACATGCCCCTACAGCCCCATAGCTCCAGGCTGCCCTGGCCCACTGCCCCAGCCTTATGTGTTCCCACGACCTCAGCTGAGGGGCAGCAGGACAGCTCTGTCTTTTGTTTTTCCTTCCCTTTGTCTGTCAGTGTTGCAGATTTCCTCTGTTCTGCCTCATTTTTGGGTGGAAACACAGCTTCCCTCCAAGCTGCTGCAAGGGACCATCCTCCTGCTCGCCTGCCATCCTGTGCAGGCTGACTCACAACCCTTCCCGTCTGGATTTTGCACAGTTTCACCTCTTTCAGATGAATAAAGACTCAACATTATACAGACTAGATGAGCAAGGGATATTAAGAATGAACTGGAACATAACTGCAAAATACAGCATGTCAAATCCAATTTTTCCTAGCAAATGAAATGGATCTGGTGGAAAATAAATACAGAACTTCCAGGAGCAGCGTCCTTGAAGAGCATTTGAGGGGGATGAAGAGATTTGAATGGATCAATCCTCTATACCTCTGCATATCCCTCCTCCTACCATTAAATGCCATCTTTAACAGAAATAAATTAGAATAAACGATCAGCCCTTGCCTCCTAAAGACAGGTGGCAGGGTAATATTAAAAGAAATTAATAAAAATTCATTTAATGAGCATTGTTAATTAAACCTGGAAATCAAAGAGGTCTGAGTTGTGGGAATTCAGAGGAAAAATGAAAATGAACGGAGCTGTAGCTCCGGGCGGGAAGAGTGGAATTAAATTAACTGCAGTGTGGGGTTGTGTTTGTTGATGTCGATCACACAGCACGGCGTGTTACAGCTGGGGGTGAAGCGTTTGTGCTCTGCTCCACGTAAAACACGCGCTGCCAGTGGAACGTCCCGCCCAGCTATGGGCGGCCGGCACCCTGCGGGTGGCACGGTGAGACCGCGGGGACCCGCGGGGACACGCCACCCCACAGCCCGGCCACTGCGCCCGTGGGCCGCGGGGAGCTGTGACTGAGGTGTCCGAGTGCCGCGAGTGTGTGTCGGGGTGTGAGAGCGGGCGAGTGTGTGCATGTGCCCGTGCGGATGGGCATCGCCGCTCCGCCGTGGGATCGGCGTGGCCGTGATATCGGGGAAAGGGGGGGATGTCACTGGGGTCACTCTGCCGCTAGTCATCTGCCCGGTTCGCACCGCTGGTATCCGGTGCCCGGTATCGCGCTTAGGGATCCGGCGTTGCGGGCCCGCCTCATCCTGTCCCGGAGGGAGGGCTCAGAGTGTGAGGGAGGGATGGAGAGGCGGAGGGAGGGATGGAGGAGGGTGAAGAGGCAGGCGTGCTGCCCGTCGGTGCTCCCCGTTTTCCCTTCGCTCTGTTGCACCCGGCGCTCATCCTCCCGCCCATCTCATCGGGCAGGGAGCCAGGCCCGGAGCACCTCCAGACACTTCTCGCTGTGCCCAGTCCGGGATGCAGCTCCCTGGTCCCCGTCGGGGAGGAGGGTGAAGCGCCCCGGGAGGAGCCCCGAGCTCTCCCGGCAGGACCGGCCCCGGGCCCCGCTCCCGCTGAGTTCGCGGAAGGTCGCAGCTGCCGCTGGGGCTCCCGCAGCTCTCCCTGAGAGGCTCCGCACCCGGCTCGGGCTAATAAAGTCAAACCGCAGAGCATCGCCACGGCCCCGCAGCCCGCCCGCCCTCTTGGGCTCTCCCGACCCTCGGGGCTCGCTCTCCGGTGCGGCCCGGGGTGCTCCGCGACAGGACTCTCAGGCGGCTCGGCCCGGGGCAGACGGTCCCTGGGTGGCACCGGGGGGAGGCTGTGCTGTACCGTGCGACAGGGGACCGGGGCCGCCCGACGGCGCGGGGGTAGTACCAGCCACGCTCCCAGGGGGCGGCGGGTGCCCCTCGCCCCCGCCCCGGCCGCCTCCCGCCGCCGTCCCGCCGCGCCCGCTGCCGGGAGCCTTCGGGGCCCCGCGGGAGCGGGCGGCGCGTCCCCGTCCCCGCGCTCTGACGCGCGCTCCCGGGGCGGCGGGCGCGCCCCCGCCGCTATAACTGGCGTGCATGGAGTCGGGGCCGGCGCAGAGGAGCGGGCGGGCGATGGGAGACGCCGCTCCGGCGGGATAGAGGGGCGGAGACGGGGGCACCCCCGGGGCCCGGCCCGCCCGGGGCTTGCCGCGGGCCCGCACCGATGCTTGTGCACAGCTACCCGGGCATGGTGAGTGCGGGACGAGCACGGGTGGGGCGGGACGGGACGGGACGGGATGGGATGGGGGGTCGGAGGCTGGGGCCGAGGGTCCGTGCCCGACTCACCGCCGCTGTTTTCGCTGCTGCAGGACCGCGCCGAGGGGCTGCCCGGGGCGCCGGCCGGGGCCCGCCTGCCGCAGCTGCCCTCGCTCAACCAGGCGCCCTATGGCTCGGCGCCGCCGCTCTGCCACACGCCAGCCGCCGACTTCCAGCCTCCCTACTTCCCCCCGCCGTACCCGCAGCCGCCGTTGCCCTACCCGCAGGGCCAGGAGCCCGCTTACCCTCACCTGGCGGACCCGTACGCGGCGCTCAGCCCTCTGCACCAGCATCAGCAGCCGGCTTGGCCCCCGCAGCGCGGCCGGCAGGACGAGCCGGGGCTGCTCTCGCAGACCCACCGGGCCCTGGGGCTCGACCCCCGCCGCGAGTACCCCTCCGTGCCTCGCCTGCTCCACGGGCTGCCCGACGGCGGCCACAGCCTGGCCGACGGCCCGCTGGGCCTCCACGGCCTCGGCCACCACGGCCTCGAGGACATCCAGGTACGAGGGGAGCACCGAGAGGGTGCCCGGAGTGGGTTGGTTGCACGGGGATGGGGCCAGATCCCTCTGCGTGTGCGACCGGGGACTCCCGGCCGGGACGAGTCGAGTCCCACGGCATCCGTACCCCCGGACAAGCAGAAACACCGGGCCGGAGATCCCCATTACTGGGGCTCGCTTGTGCCCTCAGAATTCCTTCTGGCCCGCGGGTGGATCGGGTCGCGGTCTCTGCGCCGCGAGCAGCCGGTGCCGGGAGCCAGCTTAAGGCTCTTTCCTCGGTGCTTTCAGGCCGTGGACGACGGCGGGATGAACCTGCTCGATCAGTCCGTCATCAAGAAAGGTAAGAGCGCGGCGGCTCAGCGGAAAGCGGCACCGGACCGGGCCCCGCTCCTGCCCTCGGGGTTCCCCAGCGTCGGGTCCCCCCGCGTCTGCCGTCCCGCGGGGCTGCCCCCCGCCCGTCGGGAAGGGCTCGCTGCTGTCCCCGGCGAGACTAAAACGAAAGCGGCAGATCCCGGCTGGCCAGCTCGCCGACCTGCCCCCCGGCCCGCTGCTCTCCCTCGGGCGGTACCGCGGCCGCCGCTCCTTCCCGCTACCGAAGGGCCCGGACGGGTGGACCCTGCTGTCGGGGAGCTCCGGGGCCCACCCCGCCGGCGGCCGCGTAGGGTTTGCGTGGAAAGCCCGGGGATGCCCCGACCGCGCTCGGCGACAGCTCCCGGAGCCCCGAGCTCGGAGGAGCGGGAGGCAGCGCGGGCCGCGAATCGCTTCACACCGGCCCGGACGGCGGCGGATCGGGCCCGTTCGGCGGCGCTGGTACCGAGAGGAAGGATGCGTTTAACAGAGACGAGAAGTGGCGCGGCTTTGGGGCCGGTGCTGCCCGTCCTTGCAGCCGGGAGTGTCCCCACCTCGGTAAAACCCGTGTTTGCGGAGACCGCCCCTCTGCCGCTCCAGAACCGGGGTTTCGCTCCGGGACAGGAGGGGAGGAACGGGGCTGTGGGCAGAGGGGTCTCCCGAGTCCGGTTATGCCCCGCACGCTAACCAGTCCCGCACACCCCAAAGAACCGGTGAGTAAAACAGCTCAACCCCCTAATATGTTTCTGTACCAAACCTTCCGCCGGGGCGTTGCGAGAACGAGAAGGGGGCCCCGGGAGCTTCCAGCGCGATGCTCGGGGAGATCCCTACTATGGAATATTCCAGCACTGCTTTTGGCTTCTCCCCGCGATTTTTTACAGAAATATGTGGATGGGAAGGACGCGTTTAACTGCCGACCCTAGGCGCGAACGGAACCGCAGCCACCGGGGCGGGTCGGTAACTTGGGCCGGTGCGTGCTACGGCCCCGCAGTCCCGGTGCTGGTCCCGGCCGTAGCCGATCCCCGATAACTGCACAAAAAACCTCCCGATCGTGAGGTTCTTCCCCAGGTGCCACCGGTGGTTCCACGGGGGAAGCGGCGCTCCCGGTGCGCCGCAGCCCCTTTCCTTAGAAAAGGCTGTTCTAGGAGCACGCGGCTGCCAGCGGGACAGTAATGACCCGCATTAGTTGAGCTTTAATCAGAACGCTAGAGAGGCGTTTCATTAAACATTCTGGTGTGAGGAATGGTTGCAAGAATCTGAGAGGTGCGTGGGCTGGCACCGACCGTACCTTCGCGGCTTGGGCCGGGCAGGAGCACCCCGGAACCCCCGGGAAACACCTTGCAGTGAGGATGTTTGTCTGGAAGTTCGGCTGGAGTTATAGTGGTTCGTTGGGGTTTTTCTCCTTTCCGAAAGCGCCATTACTTGGAATTTTTTTGTCTCCTGTCGGGAGGATTTGTCGTTGTTTAGTGCCTGGTTTTTGCCCTTTGGAGATTCTCTCGTCCTCTAGTCTTGGAAAGGGGAAAAAAACCCAAAAAACAAAAACAGAAAGAAAAACAAAATTAAAATATCTCTTGCTGAAGGTGGGAATGGTGCAAAGAGCTTGACCACAATGCCTGTGCTCACGGACACTTGCTCTTCCACGCCCGTTCTTGTTTGGGAATTTCAAATTTGTTTTAATATTAATATATATTTCCATCCCTGTTTTTTCCTTCTTTTTTATTATTTTAATTTTTTCTATTATTCTTCCTGTGTTTGGAGCGCGAAGCTCCGTGTCCGCTGGAGAAATCGATAAATCCAAAGCCAAGAGTGTGTTTGTGGGGGGAATTGGGCAGCCACACTGGGAGCTGCGGGATGGAGCCAACCGCGGGTTCCTGTAAGCGGCGGCAGCAGCGGGGGCTCCGTCACCCACCCCGCTATCGGGGATCGGGAGAACGGGGACTGGAGCCGATAGCCACACTCCCCTTTCCCTGCCCCTGGAAATTCCCAACCGGGCGAGTTCAGCTCAAAAGAAATGTGAGGAATTATGGAAGCTGCAGCCGGGAATCTCGGATCAAACGCCTCTGCCCTCCACACCGCCCGGGGAATAAATTCCTTTACATTCGGCTTTATTTAATATTTTAGAATGCATAAAACGTGATCGTTCTCGCTCCTGGCTCTGTTAGCTCTGAGCTGTGTTCTGGCAGAGCCGAGCCCGGGTCCCCGCGAGTGAATGACACTCCAGGAAAAATTAAATTAAATTAAAACCATCTGAGGCAGCTCCCGGAGGGTCCCGGGCAGAAAGTGCCGGAGGGGACGGCTGAGCAGCAGGACTCGAGGATCTCCTCTCTGAAGGGAAAGAGGGTAAACCCTAAAAAGAGCAGTTTTGTCCTAAATCGCAGCGAGATCCCAAATACCTATTAATCCTGGAATACCTGACGGAATGGCCGTCGGACAGAAACCTGATAGAAATCTTTGCGTGTGAAAACAGATATATCTCTCCTAATTAGTTGCCGAGACACTGTTGTCCTGGTTCAACAAAATACTAATCACCTGTCCCAAATTCCTAAATCTCCCTTTTAACTCCTGTCCTTGAAGTCGCATTTAGTCCCACGTCAGAAACAGCCCGGACCAGCAGGGAAGTGCCCGCATCCCCGCGCTGTCTCCGCAGCCTGTCCTGTCCCTTATCCCGGTATTTCGGGGCCATCCCCATGGATGGGGGTCACTGCCGATGTCCCCCCGCACGGATGGACCCTGCCGCGGGCGCGGGGAAGATGCTGCTCGGTGCCTCGGAGCGCTATGTGGGAGCATCCCTGACTGCGTGTCTGTTTTCCCTCCTTTTCCTCCTGAAAAAAACTTCCACGGTTCCAGCCGTTAATAAAATTCCGCGTCTCGGAGACGCGGTGCATTGCCACCCTCTCCCCTCCAAGTGTTTTCTAGAGCCCTTAGCGCTCTGTCCCCTTGGCTGCAGGTAACCCCGAATTAAGCAGAGAGGCAAAAGGGGGCATTCGCCTCAGCAAGGGCTGGGGGGACCGCCCCGGGACCCCCATCCCGCAGTCTCGGCGGTGGCTGCGCGGTGCCCGCATCGCTCCGAGGGGAGCCGGGTCCCGGCGGGTTCAGCCCAGGGAAGCAGATCCCGGCTGGAAACAGGCGTTCCGATACCCATTTCCACCGTTGCCTTCGGGACTGGTTCCGGTTCGTTATCGCCGTGGTGATCCCTAGGGCTGGAGGCGCCGAGTGAGGCGGGGTACCGGGAAATCCCCGGTGAGAGGATTCAGTTTGGCTGTGGGGTGCGGTGTGTGAGCTGGGATTTCACTCGGTGCAGGGAGAGATGTGATAGCTCTGAAAAGCAGAGGATGCGTTTTCCCCCCTGCCTCGTGTTGTTGTGACAAACGGGACGATAGATTTTGTTCAGGAATTAAATGGATAAATTTTTGGATAGGGCAGCAGAACATTTATGGATATCTTGGACCTCTGTTTGTTCATTCTCCCTTTTTTTCCCGAAGTATTTCAGAAATTGTTTTCTGTGTCTTTCTTTTGTTGTTGTTTTGTTTGTGGTTTGGTTTTTTTATTATTATTATTATTATTATTATTATTATTATTATTATTATTATTACTTTTCCTTCCAAACATTTATGTAAGACCAGGGATACATTAGACTGGGAAAACATTAAAATTAGCTCTGAAAAAGTTTAGTTGGGGCTCTGGCTGCTTTAGTCTACAGCAGTTCAGGTATTTTCTTCTCCACTCACCTGCTTCCCTGTTGTTTAGATGCCCAGATCAGCTACCAAGGTGTGGCTGTGAGACTCTCCAGACATAAAATTCAGCATAAAAAATTCAGACATAAAACTCAGCAAACCCTGAGCTCCTGGTGCAGGGTGCAACTTTCTGGTTATGAAATCAAGCATTAGGACATTGTGCTCAGTAGCAAAAAATCCTGCAGCTTGATTGTAAAATAAGGAGGGATTTTATTGCTTTCACATCCTTTTGGGATCAGCAGAAAGCTTCTGAGAGAGCCTTTTTATTACAAAAATAAAATACAAATCTCTTTCCCTGCCACCAGGGACACACTGGGGTGCGGGAGCAGCCTGGGGTCCTGCCGGCGGTGGGCTGGAGTGAGCTGGAGCCCTGTGACAGAGGGAGCAGGGTGAGCCACAGGGCCCGGTGCACCCGCTCACGGGCACAAGTTTTGGCTGTGGCATTTTACAACCTGGAGTAGAGACAGAGCAGGGTGTGACCAGCATGGGCTCACACTGGCACCCAGGCGTGCACAGCACACATCGCTGGGCTCTGTACTGGGCCGGTGTGATCTGGTCCTGCCACTGTGCCTTGGGTTTGTGGATCTGGTGCTGCCACTGGTCCCTTGTTTTTGTGGATCTGCCTGCTGTTGCCGTCCCTCGTGTTTGTGACTTGCTCCAATTCCCATCTGAGGCTTTCCAGCTGCTCCAAGGGGCAGTGCTAGCATTTCTGCTCAGGAATGTGGACCTGTTTGGCTGGATACTGGACAGACAGATGGAAAGCTGTGGCTCAGAGCCCACAGTCGGGAATATTGCAAGAAGTAGCTGTCACTACTAAGGAATGCGGCAGAGGAGGGAGATTAAGATTGAGATCCTCAGATCCACTCTGCACCGCACGCAAACTCCAGGTTTTGAAGCTTCTCAGCTTCTTCTCAAGCTGGCGGGACTGGGGCATTGACATGATGGCAGCAGTTCCATTTCTCCTTTGTTTTGGTGCAAGGAGGAATTGAGCTGTAAGAAATGTAATAAGCCAGATGTGGCAGGGAAAAAAAAGAAATCCTGAAAGAATGGTAGATTAGATAAACATAATTTCCTGGGACGAGCAAGGTAATAAATGAGATCATCCTGTAAAACACCTGGGGCTGCAAAGACACAGCTTTTATTGGACTGTCCAGGGCCGTGGGTGGAGGTACTTGGCTTCCAGTCAGCTACAGGGTGCTGGGCTCACTGGGGAGCCCTCCTAGCTCTCTCCAGCTTCATCTGCAGCAGTAGTTTGCCT